ATATATATATATATATATATATATATATATATATATATAACTTTACAAAAAAGAATCGTTATAAATAAATTTATAATGTCCAAGTTCAATATACAGGGTGTCAAATAAGTCCCGGGACGGCAAGATATCTCGGCGGGGGAGCATTTTAGAAAAAAATATTTCAGACAAAAGTTATAAGGCTGAAAAAAACGCTATGAAAATACAATATAAATATCATGTGCTGTAAATAGGTACTGAATATAAAGGAAAATGAAGAAAGCAAAAATATAAACAAAAGGAAAATTCGTAAGTTTTTTAGGAATACTTTTTAAATAAAAGTTAGAGTTTGGAGGAAACATAATGTATCTATATAACATATGATATTATTTGTACGTACTGTTTTCATAGAAATCTGTGCTCAGATTGACGTCAGAAAGGAGTAAACTTTAGGAACACATAAAGAATTCATTGTGCTATCTGGCAAACATTGACATAGGATGGCGTCGCCAAGGTCAGAACAAGGTCAACTTTGTTTTTTTAAATAAAAACATTTTTTATTACGGTATTTTATTCTACGTAAAAAAGCAAACAATTTTTGCTTGAAAAAAATTTTTATACGACCTCTATTTTCTAAGATATTTATGTAAATATCTACAAAATTCTTGCTTTCAATAATATTTTACTTAAATTCTATCAACTTTACCGAAAAATATCAAGAGATAAAAATTACTTATTTTGTTTTCATAGAGCTCTGTGAATTTTTTCAGAATTTTGTGTTAACTTTTTAGTACTTCAAGAAAATGCAAGAAAATGCAGTACTAAAAAGTTAATATAAAATTCTGAAGAAATTATCAGAGCTCTATAAGAACAAAATATACAATTTTTATCTCTTGATATTTTTCGGTAAACTTGATAGAATTCAAGTAAAAAATTATTGAAAACAATAATTTTGTAGATATTTACGTAAATATCTTAGAAAATAGAGGTCGTATACAAAATTTTTTCAAGCAAAAGTTGTTTGCTTTTTTACGTAGCATAAAATGCCGTAATAAAAAAATCTGTTTCTATTTAAAAAAGCAAAGTTGACCTTGTTCTAACCTTGGCGACGCCATCTTATGTCAAATAACTACTATCGTTGAATACGTTTTTTCAAGCCTTACAACTTTTGTCTGAAACATTTTTGTCTAAAATGCTCCTCCGCCGAGTTATCTTGCCGTCCCGGGACTTATTTGACACCCTATATAAAGTTATTAACAAAGAAACTCGTTTTCAATGTTTAATATTATTTTGTAAAAAAGATGTAAAACCAAAATTACTTTTTCACAAAAAAAGTAAAAAAAGAGAAGCCAAGTGCACTTGCGTTAGCATTAAACTTTACAAAAAAATCTTTATATTGGGTGTACAACTTAGTTCGGTCCGTTTTCAAAAGATGGTTCTAAGTGTCATAAATGGTTGACGGCGACAGCTGATTTTTGCTGTATCGTGAAGTGTCAACATCTGTCAACCAAATATTGTTTACAAGCCTTTGAGTTTTGCACAACAAGTTTAATTTTTACTGCGTTGAAAATGTCGAGTTTCGTTCCAAATAAGCACCATTTGCGGGAAGTTTTGATTTTCTGTTTCAATTTGAAGAAAAGTGTAGCTGAAGCGCATCGAATGCTTGTGGAAGTTTATGGTGAATCTGCACCGTCGGATAAATCTTGCAGAGAATGGTTTCGACGATTTCAAAGTGGTGATTTTAGTGTTGAAGACAAAGAGCGTTCGGGTCAACCGAAAAAGTTTGAAGATGAAGAATTAGAAACATTACTCGATCAAGATTTGTGTCAAACGCAAAAAGAGCTCGCAAGAACTTTGAAAGTTACTCAACAAGCTATTTCGAAACGACTCAAAGCCGCGGGATACATCCAAAAGCAAGGAAATTGGGTCCCATACGAATTGAAACCGAGAGATATCGAACGACGATTTTGCATGTCCGAAATGTTGCTTGAACGGTACAAAAAGAAGTCTTTTCTGCATCGAATCATTACCGGGGACGAAAAATGGATTCACTACGACAACCCGAAACGCAAAAAATCGTATGTAAAGCCCGGCCAACCGGGAACATCAACGCCGAAGCCGAATATCCATGATGCCAAGGTAATGCTCTGTATTTGGTGGAATCAGAAGGGTGTGATCCACTATGAGCTGTTAAAACCTGGTCAAACCGT